GGGTCTCAGCCTGAGACTCTCAGGTGGACACAGGGGATGCCATATCAGACGTCGAAATTCCTTCATCGGGGTCGGAGTTATCGCTCGAGGAAGAAGCTGTTCAAGACGAATACATGCAAATCTTCGGCCCGGCCCATATCTTGGATCTTGAACGCGAGAGGCAGCGACTGCTGGATCAAGGAATGGTAGACTACGGTCGTGCAATAGGATTCCTAGAATCACTTGGAGGATTCGCTGTCAGCGAATCGCTGATCGAATTTCGATCATCTACAATATCTCAGCAGCGTAAGCGTTGATGCTTTGAATGAGGAACAGGTGGATGACTAGTGTCGACAGAGGCTCTCAGAAAACACATACGATGATGCGCCGTACTGTATGCTGCACAGAGTCGGTGGAACGGGAAAAAATCTACACAATACAGGCCCTGGTGAAAGCCTATATCGAAATGCACGGCCCCGAATGCTGTCCTACTATGGCCGTGACAGGCAAAACTGCTTGCCTACTGCCTCTGGGGCAGAATATTCACCGCGTTCTGAGCCTTCAAGTGCCTCGGTCTGACTCTACGTTCACGTCTCTCGAGGGACCTGTGTTGGCTGCACTACAGGCGAGGTCCGAGAGAGTTAGACTCGTAATTGTGGACGAGATCATCTCGTCGAGTTGCGCCTGGTGGGTTGTCGTCTCCTAGGGATGATCGACTCACATTTGCGACAGGCCAAACCACAAGGCGCCCATAGGGTTTTCGGGGGGGCTTGTTGTGGTACTTTCTGGTGATTGGGGTCAACTTCTCCCCGCTCTAGATAAGCCTTAATATTCCACGAGTTCGACAGCCGACATTCGTGTCGTTAAGCATGAGAGACTTGCCTTCAGTACTGCCCGCCAGACCGTTTTCCCTGAGGCTCAGGGCCTGAGCAGATTATCCGAACAACTGATGTCGCATTTCAACAATTTGTCTCCAGGCTGCGCGAATTGCGCAGCGGCGCTGCGGCAACGAGACGGTGAGCAACCTTACGACGATCACCCATTGTTCCCTGCAAGGCAAATGCATCAGCTGAGAGCTTGAACAGAAGGATTTCGAGGATAGCATAGTCCTCGCATCTAGCGGGAAAGAGCAGAAGAGGTCAATCGAGCATCGCTCCACAATCTTGCTGGGAGACTCGTGGACCTCAAAGCTTCACACTCGAGGAGATCGGCCCAAGAAGCAAGAGAAGAGCTGGCTCGTGGTCTCAGTGAAACGAGGCGCACCGGTGATGCTCGTCAATAAACTGTCTGTCTCCGAGGGTTTCACTAATGGCGCCGCGGGGCAGATAGTTGGGTTCTTGAAGGGGACTGCTTTTGGAGATCTACCTATCGCTTTCGTCGACATGCCGGCATACACAGGCCCGCCATTCAGGGAAGCTGACTCAAGAGTCCTTCCCATATGCCCAGCCACGAGGTCCTGGAATCTTGGAAGCAGAGTTTACTCTCGAACCCTGGTTCCACTCACCCTGGGGCCCAGAGGCTCTGGCCCAGAGCAGGGAATGGCGTCCCGTTAGACCTTAGAGTCGCGCACTCAATGAGAGATAAGTGGTATCTCGTCAATAGTTGTAGAGTACGGTGACTCCTCGCAGTATGCTTCACAAGGAGCAGATCAGTGGTCGCCGGTATGACTTCAAGGACGTCAGAGCAGCAAATCTTCTTATCGTATAGACCAGTGAACTTGTCCAGGGCGTCGTCAAGAAGCTCCAGACTAGTCATCCGTGGAACGGATCCTGGGACTATGTCATTTCTCACAGTGCCAGTGCTAGCCATTGACTTCATTAGTTCCATTTCGATTTCCAAGATATCACCAACACGAACCGAGGCGCCGTCGAGATTGAAGTTCCCGAGCGAATGTAAACCGACATGTCATTATACTCCGACTCAACATCCGTCATAGGATGCCGCGAGGACTTGTATGGGGTTATACCAATTTTAGGAGTTCCTAGGGTTCCACAAGCGCTAGCGGAGCGGGAGGCCACTGTATCAGATCCTTCGATAGTCTTACGAGTCGAACCATTACGATCTTTACCCTTCCCCTTCCAGTCCAGAGTTACTGGTTTGTCGGGCATACTTCCGCCCCCAGGGACGCCTTTAGTAACAGTCTTCTTCTTGCCGGGTGCTTCCGCCTGACCGTCAATTTCAACGAGGGGACAGGTCCCGGAAAGCGAGCCAGTGTCTCGTGGAGGAGGGTCATCAGGGAATATAGTGGGCGTATGATCGTCTTCTTCGTAGCCGTCGGGTTGCGTTGCCATAATGGTCGAGTGACCGGACAAAACAAACGAGCCTAAGCCATCATGGCGTATGTTGAAGCCTTGGGCAAAGTAGGTACCCAACACCAAGGTGCTTCTAGCCGGCCTTTGGGAGGGTTTAACCCCCTCAGAAAGGAGACGTTGTAGCATGCACGCATTTACAGAAAAGTCTCCACGTATATGCAACGCATGTACGCATGTCATACGTGCGAGTTATTCCCTGTGCTTGCATGCTCTAGCCTGGTATGAAGTATATCACGTATTACTAATATTGAGAATCGAGCGCTCGGTAGCTACCTGGCTCGAGGTCCCAGTGTATTTTTGGGATGCATCTATCGAGCTAATGTCGGGTCGCCTTGGTGCGAGGGAACGATACGGACGACAACAATATTCTTGTTACTATCTGTTCAATTCCAAGCTGAAATAGATATTGAGATGTCGTAGATCTTTGACCGGAACTTCTAGATTCCTCGAGTGTGAAAACGGAATCGGGACGGGAGCTGATAGTGGATGAGCTATCAGTTAGTTCCAGTTACCTGTCAGTGGGATTAAATTATTTACATAGTGTATT